ATGGAGTACCAGAGAATTAGTGGGGCCTTCTAGTTCTGTAGGTCTCAGACATTCTTTTTCCTTTAAACGACCAGATCGGGGTTCAGGGTCGTCTAGTGAAAGCTCAGGCAACGAGTCAGCGAGACGATCTTTCGATCATTTTACTCTGAGTTAACTAGTCTGTAATCAATGTGGGTACGTCATCGAGGGAATTGTGGGATAACTGATGTGGTTTGTCACAGGTGCGGTGGCGCCGGGCATTTTGTTCGTGATTGTTCTTCAGCACCATCACCTGGTGATTTTATCTCTGGCTCAGAGTACAGTGGATATAAGCCAGTTCAGAATTTTGGCGCCCGACAGAGCTGTGATGGCAGTGGCAGTAGTAGTCGGAGTTATGGTAGCAGTACTAATCAGAACTTTAGAGGAAATGACAGCTGAAGTGCTTAGTTTTCGACCTAGCAGCAGGCTGGAACATCTTCTGGTAACAGTAATCAGGGGAACAGAGCAGGACATGGTTCTAGAGGTCATGGCGGTCGGAACAATAATACGGGGTATCAGGTTCATAGACGTATGAACGCCATGACTCAGCAGGAAGCTGATCAGGATCCTCGAGTTATCACCGGTACGTTACCTGTCTGTAATAGTTAGGCTAGAGTTTTAATTGATCCGGGTGCTACACAGTTTTTTATTTCTTCATCTTTTGCTCCGGTTATACCTTCTCAACCTCAGCCACTAGGTTTTGATATGCTGATTCAAATGCCAAGTGGTGAATTGTTTTGTGCTCAATGGCAATATCAGCATTGTCCAGTTATTGTTGAAGGGGAAAACTTAGAGATTGATTTAATTCCTTTCAAATTCACGGAGTTTGATGTCATTCTGGGAATGGATTGGCTATCTAAGCGCCGAGCGAATGTCGCATGTTGGGAGAAAATTATGACGTTCAATCGGCCAGGACTTCCATCAGTTACATTTATAGGTGAGTGACGTGTCCTCCCCAATAGTCTTATTTTAGCCATTCGAGCAACTAGGTTGTTGAATAAGGGTTGTGTGGGGTTTTTAGCCCACGTAGTTATGAAGGATAAACCTTCTTTACGTCCAGAAGAAGTGCCAGTTGTAAGAAACTTCATCGATGTGTTTCCTGATGATTTACCAGGGTTGCCACCTGTGAGGGAAATTGAGTTTACTATCGATTTACTCCTAGGTACAAATCTTCTTTCCTTGGCACCTTATCGAATGACACTAGTGGAGTTGAGAGAATTGAAGATCCAACTCTAGGAATTAGAAGACAAAGGTTACATCCAACCGAGTACATCCCCGTGGAGAGCTCCTGTTCATTTTGTTAGAAAGAAAGATTGATCAATGAGACTCTGTATCGATTATAGGCAACTGAATCAGGTGACGGTAAAGAATCGTTACCCTCTGCATCAGATCGATGATTTGTTTGATCAATTGAAAGGTGCTCAGGTATTTGATAGGTGCATATTTATGCAACTTAGTTAGCTTGTTTCTTGGCATTTACTTAGTTTAATTCTAGTTATTTTAGTACTTTAAGCTATTTTCGTGTGTTTGTAGGTTCAAATAACAACGTTGGCAACAAAGTGCTATTTGGAGCATTTTGGAGCATTTTTGGGCCAAGATTGGATAGTGCAAGCATGGAGACATGAGGATGGACGTTTTTGAAGATTAGAAAGCTAGAAATCAGCATGTGTGTGTGCAAGTGTTTTGACCTACAACTACAAACATCCATCCACTACACCCATTACATCCACTCATTACCAAACACTCACCCACTGCACCCATTACATCCACTCATTACCAAACATCCATCCACTACACCCATTACATCCACTTATTACCAAACACTCACCCACTACACCCATTACATCAACTCATTACCAAACATCCATCCATTACACCCATTACATCCACTCATTACCAAACATTCATCCACTACACCCATTACATCCACTCATTACCAAACACTCACCCACTATACCCATTACATCCACTCATTACCAAACATCCATCCACCACACCCATTACATCCACTCATTACCACAACATACACCACTACCACCTTAATTAGATAGTGGCCCTCTCCCTAGCCTATAAATACATCCACCCTTCACCATAACAAGGGAGAACACAATCCACCCATCCACCATTCACCATAACTCACCTATATCCATCCACCACCATAATTTACCACTCATCCATCAAACCACACCTTGTGCCGCAACAAAGAGAAGAATGAGGACCCTTGGACGTGCTTGCCATTCAAGTTGGATTGTTGGAGCGATTTTAGGTGTTTTCATTCTTTTGTTTTCAATGTTTAAATTTGTTTATCTTTGCTTTGTGAATATGAGGAACTAAACCCCCCTTAGCTAGGGGGGAATTCGAAACCATGTTCATGCTTGCAATATGATTTGATTACCTTCAGTTGTGATTTCATAAGTTGTGAATTCAATTTGTTTAACTGCTTGCTTGATAACTTATTCGTGTATGTTTATTAAGAATGCACACTTAGTTTGCATGCATGAATATGATGCTAGAGTATAAGGGAGTTTCACCTAATAGTTACAAACTTATATTCACAAGTAGTGGAGGTCGCTTATAAATGATCGCGTTAAATAAATTCTTGGCAGGAGTTTCATGCTCATCATAATAACGAGTGCTTCGTCAATACTTATAGTTTTCATAATGCTTAATGATCTTTGATTGTATCTTTATTGTGCTGTTCACGTAAAGAACTTTTGAAGAATGCTTGAATTGTTGTATGCGCTTTCCCATCCAATTCAATAACTTAAGGAGAACTTGAAGGTTAATTTAAGCGGACTTAATTAACCTGGGGAGTTGAGTTTCATGATTGATCAAAAGAACAACTGAAAATTGGTTTATGTGCAAGTATGTCATGTGTGGAGAAGAACCTCCTAGCTAGCCTTCCATCCATTCAATTTACTCGAATTCGTGCAGATTTCATTAGTTCTTTAATTTACTTGTTTTGTTTTCAAATTCGTCAAAACCAAAACCCCCTTTACATTAAAGTGTTTTATTAGTCAAAATCGGTTTTGATTTGTGTTTTTAGGTGTCCCAAAAGTGTGTTAGAGTCCAAATCTACTCAGTTTGTGTTTTTAGGCAGATTTGAGCGTTTTTAGCTTGTTTTGAGTCCTTTGAGTTTGTTTTAAGTTCTTTGAGTCTAGTTTAGTGTTTTTAACTTTGTTTATATGTTTTTAAGTCAGTTTAGAGGTTTTAGCAAGCCCTCCTAATCCCCGGTTTAGAACGATCCCTACTTGCATTTATACTACAATTTGATAACAAAAGGGTTTAATTTGTGTGTTAAGAAAATTTTCGCATCAGTATTTTCCAAAATTGATCTTCAATCGGGTTACCATCAATTAAGGATTTGCGAGGATGAAGTCCCGAAAACTGATTTCCGTACGAGGTATAAGCATTATGAATTTCATGTTATGCTTTTCAGATTGACAAATGCACCTGCAGCATTCATGGATTTGTTGAACAGAGTCTTTAGGCCGTACCTGGATCAGTTTGTGATTATGTTCATTAATGACATTCTAGTTTATTCTAGAAGTGTGAATGAGCACAAGAAGCATTTGAGACTAGTACTAGAACGACTAAGGGACAACCAGCTTTATGCCAAGTTCAGTATGTGCCAGTTTTAGTTAACTCAGGTTGGTTTTCTTGGACACATAGTTTCTGCCGAAGGAATTAGTGTGGATCCCTAAAAGGTGTCAGCAGTGTTTAACTGGGAATAACCGAAGAATGTTACCGAAGTGAGAAGTTTCCTGGGTTTGGCAGGGTATTATCGAAGATTTATTCATAATTTTTCTGCAATTGCTCTGTCTCTTACTAAATTGACTTGTAGTTTGTGTGGGATGAAAATTGTGAACAAAGTTTTCAGGAGCTTAAGCAACATCTCACTCAAGCCCCTGTTTTCGCTCTTCCAGATGACAGTGGTGAATTTGATGTGTATACTGATGCTTCTCTATCAGATTTTGGGTGTGTACTGATGCAACATGGAAAAGTTATCGTCTACGCTTCCAGACAACTCAAAACCTATGAAAAAAATTATCCCACTCATGATTTGGAGTTAGGAGCAGTGATTTTCACTTTGAAGATTTAGAGGCACTACCTATATGGAGAGAAATGTCGTATTTTTACGGATCATAAGAGTCTTAAGTATGTGTTCACCAACAATGAGCTGAATTTGAGATAGAGAATGTGGATGGAGCTTATCAGTGATTATGACTGTTCGATCGAGTACCATCCTGGGCAAGCTAATGCCGTGGCTGATGCTCTTAGTCGGAAACATCACGAGCAGCTTGCATCATTTCAAGCTGTACACGTTCCATTACTATTTTCTCTTCGGGAAACTGATGTTAATTTGGAACCAGGTGAGCATGGAGCTTGGCTAGCACATTTTCAGATTAAACCTATCTTTGTAGACATGGTCAGAGAAGCTCAAGAACTAGATCCGGAATGCGCTGAATTAAAGGAACAAGTGTCAGCCAACACGTGCTTATCCGGGTATTTGGGGAATATCGGGGTCGGGACGTGTCATGAAAGGTACATTTTCCTACTTCCAACAAACTTTGTGTCTTCATATTTTTCTTTTGCTTTCCAATAGTGATGTATAGTTTTTCTTGTTTTTTTTGTTTCGTTTTTTTTTGTTTTATTTTTATTTTTGTTTTAGTTTTTTGTTTTTTTCTAGACAGATTTTGATAACACAACCCGAACTTACAAGACATGTCGTACAAGTATAGATATATATATTCTTCAATGATCAATTTTTTTATTTGAAGAGATTTGCACAATTAACAAATGAGAAACAATTTCTATATGGCTGCCACGTACTAGAATTAGGTGTAAATGATGCTACACCCCACCCCCATTTTATTTTAAAAATGGTTTTCAGTTTTTAATTGGTGAGCCCAAGGGGGGCCCACCTCTGATTCTTTTTTCCCCCGAGTCTTTCTCATCTCTTCCCTCTCCCCTCTCAGTCATCTCTTTCTTCCTTTTCCTGATGATCTCTCTCTCTGCACTCCCATTCTGCTCGAGCTCAACACACACACACACACACACCACACACCCACTCACACCCAATTGCTTACCTGCATGAGGAAGACAATCATCATCATCATCATCAACCTCGTCTTCCTCTCCATTTCTCTCTCGGCATAGCTGGGACTGTGGAATCCAGGAACTCTCCGATGAGTTCCCTTGATTTTCCGGTTAGGTAAGCTTCGGATTACCTCAAATTAGTCTTGGTTGTTGCGTGGTTGAGATATATTAAGCTTTAAATCATTGTTTTTTTTACAAGGTTTTTGGAAGGAAATCGGCTCGGGTATGCCAAACCCATCTCTGGCGAGCCCATGGCTGTCGAGGGGATTTTCGATCACCTCCGACCGTTCTACGGTGAACCAAAGGTATAAAAACACCCATCTCGTCTAGTACTTCATTTTGGTACCTAGATCAGGGTCTAAGGTGAATAATTGCAATCGACCGGAGCTTCTACAGCTCCGGTGTTCTTCTTCATTTCGCACAGGCCCTTCAGGCCATTTCTCTAACCTCGGGCCTTAAGCCCATTTTTTCTCAGCCCAAAAACCTTGACCCGTTTCATTTTTCATTTTAGTTAAATTGTTTTAAAAACCCAAAAAGGCCTACAAGTCGTGCCCTGTAGGGCCTCTGGCCGTTGGCCCAACCCCAAAACCCATTTCTTTTTTTATTCTCTTTTATTTAAATTGTTTTAAGACCCAAAGGCCTTCGAGCCATTGCTAATAGGGCCTTCGGCCCGTTCTTTCTTCAACCCATTTCCTTTTCAGTTATTTCATTCAAATTGTTTTAAAAACCAAAATGGCATTTGGGCCATTTCTGTTGGGGCTCTAAGCCCAAAACCCTAAAAACCCATCAACCTAAACCTATTTCCCTAAACCCTTTAGACCCAAAACCCTTAGAGCCCTATAGGCCCAAACAAGATCCAAACCCTGAGCCCAGACCTGTTTGACCTAGTTGACCTTTGACTCTGACCGTTGATCGACCTTTGACTCTGACCGTTGACTCGGTCAACAGTCAGAGTTGACTTTAACTTTGATCAGTCAACGATCAACGTTGACTTTTAGGGTTGACTTTTCAGGTTTTCGTCCTGGACCTCTCCTAGGCTAATTTCGACGTCCTGGACCCATTTTTGAAGTCCGTTTTCCCAAATTTAATCATTTGAATAGAGTTTGACTAAAGGTACTCCTTTATGTGATTAGGTGCAATTTTTGGCGGTGATTCCGTTATTCCTTTTTGGTACAGCTTTGCACCATCGGTGTACGGTGAGTGGACCCCTTCTAAAATTACATGAATTTATAGTTCAATTGCATAAATGAAATGCATACCTTACGAGTTTATGAACTGATTTTATGTTAAGCATGTTTACTGAAATGTTAATTATCGTCTCGTTATTTTGTAAGGAATTAATTTTTGGCTTATATTGAGCTATATTTTAATATATATCGTATTTTGAATAAAAACCATGAACTGGTAGATTATCTGATGGATGACGATAGGATGCTAGAACATGTTTTAGAAACCCCTCTTTATAGTATAGAAGATGGATGACTTTATACAATGAAGTGGTTATTTATGAGAGGCGTAACTATTTGTGCGTACCTAGTGGACACTATGCCGCCTGGGACGAGGATCTAGTGTTGGCAGATAGGCCTGGAGAAATAATCCCTAGCCACGGGTTGAGGGACACGGAGTAGGCATTGGGCCGAGAGTTGGTAATCCTGGCTACGGGTGCAGAGACCACGGTGTTGGCATAGGGCCGGGAGTGATATTTATTCAGTGATCTTACTGGCAGCACCTCGCGTTTACGAGACGATACATGCGATGATTTATATGATGTTTTTCCTCGATATGTCTTTTGAGATATTTTTGGCATGCTAGGGTTTTCAGTAAACCTATCATTTATTATGCTAGTAGTTTTCATTATTAAAACTTCGGGGGTTAGGATGTTTATAACTGTTTTTGTATTATGTATGTATATAAACTTGGTTTACTCACCCTTGTTTTGCGCCCCTTTTCAGGATTTAAAATCGAGGTATACGATCCCGACGTCAACGCTTTCGCATTGGTATATTCGAGTCCTCTCGATGTATGACCCACATCCTCTTATTTATTCAATTTTACATTAATTCTTTTAGAACTCTAGTTAGTTGTATGCTCTGAACATGTTCCTAAATTATTAATTCACTGTATTTTAAATTCAACCCTTATTTATTTCTTATTCTTAGCTTTTGTATCAATTAATGGCTTTCGTCACCCTCAGGTGTCAGCCAGTACGTGTCTATCCTGGTATTCGGGAAATATCAAGTTGAGGGCGTGTCAAATGATATAATTTAGTACAAGGACAATATAAGTCACAAATCAGGCATCGAATGCACATATAGAGCCATCGTTAAAATAACAAGGTCATATCACACTACCACTGAAACAGAGAAATCACACACTCACCAAAGTGACACAACACAAAACATTAACCAAAACTAGCTAATTCGAGAAAGGAACCGTCAATCAACTCAATTTCACAGCGCTGACCACACTGCTCCTAGAGATATCCATAACATCCACCAGATGAGCCGCCTCAGATCTGGCCAGGTAATGCGGGTCGGCTAAGAAGCACAAAGCCCCCTTGGACAACCAGTCCTAACAAGTGGATCCAACCCACAACAACCACAAATCGTGCCCAAACCCACAAATCTAGCCCACAAGAGCATAGGCTAGGATAAGGAAGAACTTTGTCAAACGAAGGGCTATCTGCAAAATGGTGGGAGATGGGATGGTGAAGGGAGGTGCGAGGTGTCGAAACTAAATTTGCGCACCACCATGTGTGAAGGAGATGTACAAACACAACTACTTGTAAAAGAACAAACGATCGTACACAACTTGGAACAGGTGGGATATTGACCAACGATCAAGTTAGTAAGTAATATATAAGACTTAAACAGTGGGTAAGACATTCAAGTGCGCGATATTTGCGTTACCAGATATGAACCCTAGATGGGTGTATTTATACTAGCTAGTTGGGATTAAGACTTTTTAGGATATATGATCCATATTAAACCGGGAGAATCCTTAAAAAATATATAGAGATAGATATTGCTTCCTTTTAGGAGTATGATTACTTGCAATGTAGGCTAATCTCTAGATTGTAGGAATCTCCAAGAATATGGAAACTATCTAACCCCTACTGAATTAGATTTCCATGTCTTGCGGAACAATAATGGTCAATCTCAGCGAAGTCAACGGACTTCATCTACCTTTCTAGAACACAAGATGATGGTGGCATCACTAGTCTATTTATGCAGTTGAATTCGACCATAGGTGTTGAGTCTATGACCGCACTTTTGAGGTATTCATATTTCGATTTGCCTTACTCCGATTATGGAAAATCATGGTCGCATGAGGTAAGGAAAATGAAGGGGATAAAGGTGAGGCGGGGGACGGGTGGCATGGCACGAGTTTGGGGAAGCGGAGGGAGAGTGGTGGCTCAGCGTGTGGGAGAGGGCGTAATAGACGATAGGAAAAACAATTGGAATGAAGGGACAGAGGGCTGCCGCTGACTTTGAGTCGAAGCAAAGGGCTGACGATTGTGATTTTTTAGATCTAGGATTTTGGAAGAGAAAGAGTTGGGGAAGATACAAATTTTAGGATAGTGATGTATACTTCTAGTTTATGGAAAATGCTACCTTTTTTTTTCTTAACATCCACTAGTAAAAAAAACACTTTGTGCGACGTACGTACATTCGTCGCGCAAAGTCAAAAATCGTTGGGCAAGGGTTTGCGCGACGCAATCTTCGTTGTGCGCTAACCGTTGCGCCAAGGCAGTGATGCTAGGGTTTGCACGACGAATAAATAACTTGCGTCGCGCAAAGCCACTTTGTGTGATACACAACCTACGTCGTACAAAGTACTTTTGCGCGACACGCGTCCTACGTCGTGCAAAGATACTTTGCGTGACGCATATCCTAAGGCGTGCATCGCGCAAACCCTTTTTTTTTTTTAATTAGTGAAAAATAATTTTTTTTTAATTTTTGATAAATATTGTAATTAAATTCTAAAGAATAATTAATTAACCAAGCAAAAGTATTAAATTATAAAATATTTGAAAATGTACATACAAGATGTTCGAACAAAAAAGAAAAAACTACAAGTGAACTAGAACTAGGTTTAATATATCAGGCTACTGGGTATCGGCATGGCAAGGTGGCTCTGAGGTCGAAGGTGGAGCAAGATGAGGTGCTAGTAGGGAGATTTGGAGGCCGGACATCTATATGGCTTGTACAAGTTCTTGCACCCTCTCGACACAGATCCTCATCTCCTTGCCCTGGGCCCTCAGCTGCGCGTTCATCTGCTCGGCCTCGGTCCTCAACTGCGTCACTTCCGCCTTCAATGCATCGACCTTTGTTATGTTCGATCTAGAAAAAGAAGCACTCGTCTCACGAATCCACGCTTTCCCCATACCCCGAACAACCTTGCCACGACGACGACCATAGTTCTAATTCAGGACATCAGTCATGATCTGAAAACCTGCATCCTCAAGTACCATGACGTCCTCGATCGGGGTCTCCGGGGGAAGCTGCGATGCTGCTTCATGGAGAATAATAGTGCTCTTTTCCTCCATAGTAGCCTGTAATAATAAAGAAAAAACATATAATGCTTAATAACAAAATATAAATAATATTTGAACGATTCATACATATAAGAATAATAACATATACTTACATGAAGCTGCTTAGTGGTCTCATTACCAGGTCGAACGTAAACGTCCTTGAACATGTCGATCTCTGGGAACTTAGAACCCTTCTGAAGAAAAAAACATTAAGAAAATTTTATTAATCAATAATAAAAAAATAAATTATATAAAATTTCAAAGTTAATATACTTTTACCTCACGTCGTGCCTCAAGCCTATACAAAAAGGGTTGCGAACCAGAATGGTGGAAAAGTGTCTTTGACTCCCGAGCTTTCTGGCCAGCAATAGATTTCTTCTGTTAAACGTACAATATACATGTTAGTGCGACTATTTAAAATAAATTAATAAAAAAAGCTTGAAAAAATAACATGTACAATAATAAATTATTATTAAAATATTATATACATACCACAAATTTTGGGTCCGTAAAATGTTTGTAGAGCCATTCCCAATCCTCTGGCCGGTCCTTCAACTCGTTTGGAACATGTAGGCGAGCAATCTCTGGATCATCCCATCGCTTAAAATGCTTGTGAAAATTGTTCTTCCATTGTTTGTACCGGGTTGCTAAGGTCTCCTCTAAGTAGACCATGACCTCAGGGGATATGCCCTTAAGATCATAAACGCACTACAAATATGAAAAATAATAAAATAATAGTAACAAATTTAATAATATTAAGATAATATATTTTGGTTTTAATATTTGTACACAAAATTAAAAAAAATGATAAAGGCTAAAAATTAATATACTAACCGACAACTTGTCTTGCACCAGTATCTTCGTCTCCTTAGGAATTTGTGCCCAAGACTCCCGCTGAAAAGGATAATTATCTCGAATAACAACACCACAATTACTAGCAACACCGCTATGCTACTGTGAGGTAGCCACTCCACAATGTAGCAGGTCAAACACAATCTTGATCTTGGAGTTGTTCTGACGTACGCCCTGTAACTCCTTCAGCATTCGACTAGGCCCCCTGGTTTTTTTTTTTAGCTGGCCAAAAATACTTAAATAGTGAAAACCCTAAGCTTAAATTTGTACAAAAAATTCGACACAACCTCCCCTAGTAGTATAGCATTTCCCAAAACCTTAAAACATTAAAATAATAGTAATTCACAACTCGCAACACATTTTCACAATCCAGCAAATTTTCACCATCATAAAAATAATAGTTTTAAAATGAAAAAAAATACAACGTAGTGAGAATTAGAAAAAAAACTACCTGGTGGCTGGGAGGCCTCACCCTCAACTCTGGATGCCGAGGAAGTTTGATCAAAAGGCTCCGGGTCGCGACAGCGTCGGTGAGGTCGCCGTGCATTGAGCAACTCAACGGACACTGATGACGTCGATGAGACGGGCACCTGGGAAGTCGTAGAAGTAGCCTTAACATTAGGTGTAGGCTCCCCAATCAATGGTGCATTCACGGCTGAAGCAATAGATGCTGATAATGCGGGAGGTGCATTGGTCACACTCCGACGACGAGTAATCAACTACGACATCTATAAGTAGGAATGTAATGAATCTTCCCATTCCGCATTATAATTAGAGAATGTTAAGTAAGAAAGGTAAACCCTTTCAATGCAATACTTGAAAAAGAAATAACATGAATATAAAAATAATAATAAAATAAAACTGAAAGAGAGAACAACATTTAGAATTTAGTGCCTGGGGAAAGTAAATAGCTATAGTTCTTCAAAATCTTTGGTTAGATGGAATGCTTTGATTGCACACATTTTACCTGTAGTAGGCCGGCTAGATATATGAAAGACTTATCCTGTACAAATAGACAACTGCATGAAAGAAAACAAGATAACTAAAGACCAGCAGCATGGAGACGATTAAAGAAACAAAAGGCAAGATATGATTATGAAACATAACTTTGCAAATAAAAAGAATGTAAAAAACAATCCACACCTTTAAGGATTGCTAGAGCAAGGATGTCAAAAAGTAATGATACCGTTACAATGTACAAAATGAACACCTGCACAATCAAGGTAGACATATTATTAACAGTGGAATCAACATAAATGACAAAAACCAAAAATCAATGTTTGCATTATGCACTGTATGATATATTAATAGTGGAATAAACATATATGACAGAAAGCAAAAATCTATGTTTGCATTCTGCATTGTATGATATATTGTCAAATGGTGGAAGTGAGACAACATTAGTAATTAACAACCACCCGCCACATACAACTATGTATCTTTGCCGTAGTCAATTTTTCATTTCTTCGAAAAGGAAACTTAACCCTATACATCAGGTTTGTCTTTGAAGATCTAGAAACAGTAAGCAAGTTGTTTTGCCACTCATATGTGCACAATTTGCAGATTATTTTTAATTTTCATTCTTTTAATACTCAAAAATAGTTAAAAGAGCAAGAAAAGGGTTTCAAATGACAACCTACAAACAAACTAATATATAATTATTAACATCAATCTGTGCAAGAGAAAGGCCATTCTATTACTAAGAAAACAAAAATAGAATGGACTTGGTTAGTAAGAAAAAGGCTGGTTCAGAGTAATTGATAGGTCCAGAAGCTTAAAGACCTCACCGAATCCAAATACCAGAAAGGAGAAACAGAGACAAAAGAATCACTTCCTTGTGCTAGCAAGTGTTAAAACATTTATCAACATCTGCTCAAACTCTTGCCACAAGAGTTTACATTTGTTAGCATAAGTGGTGACTTGCAGGCAATGACAATCAATCCCAACTCGTGGTAAATAAAATATGATGTTTTAGTAAACCACACCTAGAGATATTTCGTATCATGGTTAGCGTGGTTTCTTCCTAGCACACAAATCACACACCAACTTATACTTTGTTGTTAGTTTCAGGGGCTTTAAGGGCACCTTTCTTGAAGGCATGCTAAAAAAAAAACAAATCGAAGAATTCTAAGTCTTAAAAAAAACATGTTTACCAGAAACTTAATTTAACATGTTGACCCCTAGTACTCAAGATATGCAATGATTGCAATTAAATGGGAACCTACAACTTGACCACAATTATGCACGTAAAGAAATCACTCTTTTGAGATCCAATTCCCCAACTAATCAAATTATCAAATTCAGAAACGAACACAAACCAATAATATCCTTTAATTCAAACGTGTTTTCTGCGGAAATTATGATGGTTACCATGAAATTATCCAATAATATCCTTTAATTCAAACGTGGTTTCTTCCCAGCACACAAATCACACACCAACTTATACTTTGTTGTTAGTTTAACTCACTCAATGCAGGTCTCCCCACGCTCAAAAGGCCACAAGTTGAAATAATGCAGCAATTTGGTAACAGATAAATTTGTGACAAAAACCCTAAATAACAAAAACCCATTGAAAATCAGAAACCCTTACCTTGATTTTGGGACTTGATTTGCGTCGGCTTCGAGATTCCCGTGGCGGCCTGTCGTTCGGGTTCAAGGTTTGGGTTCGACGACCCAAAAGGAAAGACAGGATTTGGGGTCAACGGGGAAAGAAAGAGGGAAAGAAAGAGAAGGAGATTTGGGGTTTATGGGGAAAGAAAGAGGCAGTGTTCAAGATTTGGGAGGGAGGGTTCAAGATCTGGGGTCTACAGGGAAAGAAAGAGGGAGGGTTCAATTATTTTGTCAAAACTTGGAAAATTGAAAGAAAAAAAAAACGCCTATTTTTCACTATTGGACCGCCAAATTTATCACAACTCGCGCGACGTAGTTATACAATTTGACGTCGTGCAAAGTGGTTTTGCGCAACGATCACATTAAGGGGACACGCAAAATATTTTTTCAAAAAACAAAATTATTATAAAAATGACTGAAAATGTGATTTTCCTCCTTTCAAAATTAATTTTTTTTTAAATAAATTCCACAATAATATATTTTTCTAACAAAAACCCACAATAATTTTTTCTACATATATATCATTGAATTTCTTAAGTGTTATAAGTACAAAATAAATAAATTAAAATCTACTTTGTAAATATATATACCATTGAACTTGATGGGATACACATTGTATGAAACTAGTTTTAATGATCCAACCGTCAAACTTGTCTGTATATGCTTTGAGATCACATACGCAAAAAATTGCAAAAAAAAATATTCAGAGATCAAGTAACGGGACAAAACATTTGAACGGATATAAACGAAAAATCACGATTTAACGGTTAATTTAACTCCAATTTTGATGATTTTTTACAGCTACACTCTTTAACCGTATATGAATACAATGAACTAATTCAATCATCAATTTAAAACATTGACACAAGTGGATACCACAAAATCTTATGTTATACTTAATGAAAGTATAAATAAACTTCAAGTATTAGTGAATCTAATGTTTTGATGGGATACGCATTGTACGAAACTAGTTTTAATGATCCAACCGTCAAACTTGTTTGTATATGCTTCGAGATCGTATACGCTAAAAATCGTAAAAAAAAAAACATTCAGAGATCAAGTAACGGGACAAAACTTTATCCATGTTTATAAACGAAAAGTCAGGATTTAACGGTTATTTTAACTCTGATTTTGATGATTTTTTACAGTTACACTCTTTAACCCTATATGAATACAATCAACCAATCCGATCGTCAATTTAAAACATTGACACAAGTGGATACCACAAAATCTTATGTTATACTTAATGAATGTATAAATAAACTTCAAGTGTTAGTGAATCTAATGTTTTGATGGGATATGCATTGTACGAAACTAGTTTCAACGATCCAACCATCAAACTTGTTTGTATATGCTTCGAAAACGCATACGCCAAAAATCTCAAAAAACAAACATTCAGAGATCAAGTAAAGGGACAAACTTTTTCGACGGCTATAAACGAAAAATCACGATTTAACGGTTATTTTAACTCCGATTTTGATGATTTTTTACAACTACGCTCCTTAACCCTATATGAATACAATGAACCAATTTGATCATCAATTTAAAACATTTATACAAGTGGATACCACAAAAGAAAAAGGCAATGCAAGAACCCCAAAAGAAAAGCAAAAGGGAAAAAAACAAAAAAACAAAAAGAAGACTTTGCACGACGTAGTCATACCTACGTCGTGCAAAGTCTTCTTTATTTATTTTTTTATTTTATTTTTTTGCCATTTTGCTTATGAGTACAAAATAATTTTTTTTTGCCAGGCTATGGAGCTGCTGCCATCGGCCAAGATGTTAGAAAGAAAGCGGTGGAAGAATTATTTTTATAGTTTTGATATTTAAAGGCGTAAAATTGGAATTAAAATCCCCATAATAAACAATATTAGGGTGATTACTTAGAATGATTACTTAGGATAATTACGTTCAAATGGCATCACCCTTGGGACTACCCAACGACTATGAATTTGAAACCAGAGTACATTAACTCCAACAAGAATAAGTTCTAACTGAAACCCTTGGGTGTACATGACTTCCCAACGACAACCAATTCTCTTTCAAGTGCAGCAGCAGCATCCGGCGCCGCCCCAAGAAGTTCATTGGTCCTCCCCCTTCCCCTTTTCCCTCCCCGCCGCGGCCGATTAGATCTCCTCCGCCCTCCAACAATGTCAATATCAACAATACCAATACCAACAACAATAATAACAGTCTGAGCGCGACTGTTGCTGGCAACGGTGGCATGAAGGGGAAGAAGAAGGCCGGGGGAGCCAAGCTTTGTATGCGGTTTCACCGTTTCGGGGATCAGAGCTCGTCGAGTGTGACAAGAATGCTATTATTCGACGTGCGGCCATTCCCGCCCAGGACTTGAGGATTCTCGGCCCTGTCTTCTCCCATTCCTACAGCATCCTTGGTACTCCTCCTCCCCTTTTTTTATCTTATTTTGTGAATTACCTTACTTGATATGTGAATTCTCTTCTGGGTTTTGCAAATTTTATTAAGCATTGCAGCTACATTAAGGTTAGGGTTACTTTATTTGCTGGCTTTTAATTGTGTAGCCATAGCAGACCATGATGACCAACGGAAATATGTTTTCTCATTTCAATTGCAGCTAGGGAGAAGGCCATGGTGGTTAATTTAGAGTTTATAAAGGCTATAGTTACAGCGGAAGAGGTTTTGTTGCTTGATTCTCTTCAGCAAGAGGTTCTTCCATTTGCGGATCAGCAAAGGTAACAACTTCCTCAGAAAAGGCAATCCAGGATAGATGAAGCAAGTCCACTTGATGAACAAGATAGTGGAATGAATGTTTCAACCAGAAGGCAATGGTTACCAGTTTCTGAAGCCGTTAAAGGTGTGCAGTGTGATCTCCCATTTGAGTTTCAAGTTCTGGAGATTGCACTAGAAGTTGTCTGTACATACTTGAATTCAAGTGTGGCAGACCTTGAGAGAGAATCCTACCCTGTTTTAGATGAATTGGCCAGAAATGTGGCAGCGCTTAATCTATCTCGAGAGTAGAGATTTGTGTCAACTCTCGTGTTCTAAACTATCTGATTCGTATAATGCAAATGTTACTTTGATCTTCTCTGCGATTGAGCGTTATTGTAAAAAATGTGTAACGGTTTGAAAGTTACTATTACGTATGTTTGTGCAAAACTTGCATATCTTTCCAGTTACAGATTATATTAAAAACCTGAAGCTATGTTGCAGCGTTTAGTAATCAAGTTTTTATAAGGAAAATAGCCGCATTCAGCGAATATAGTGATGCAGATGCATAATGCCGAAAGAATATGATGTGAGAAATGATTACTGAGAATATACAGACTGAAATTTATTGATTTGGAATAAATAATGGATAATGCTGAAGATTGAAAAGAACTAATGGAACATATTCTGCTAACTCCACAAATGAAATCGTATGACAAAAGATGGCATACAAGTAACAGCAGCGCCACCTACAAAGTTACAATTTTTCTTCCATGTTGAACTACATGCTCCATCTGTCAGAGAAAATATTGCTGGTAGGAAGTGCTTTTGCCAGAATGCCATCGTCTTTCCATCTTCCAGATTGACCTAAGTAGTTTTTCTCTTTTCTTCTACCATCTCTTATGTTACTTCAAACGCTCGGGCTTTTATCGTGCAAAACCTGGCTGAATGGTGCATAATTGATGATGTGCGGTCCAAAAAATATCACAAACCAGAAACATGGATAGGCAAACATCAGTTGTAGAACTATGAAACTTATACATAAAAGATTAAAAAGGTAGGAGAGGCCACGAGACTTTCGGGGGGAATGAGGCTTTGTTGTGAAGTTTCATACACACATGCGATTCTTTGCTACAATTTTCTTTTATCAGAAACAAGATGAAGGAAAGGAAGACAATGAGAACAATTAGATTACCTGAAGAAGCATGGAGGGAGCTGCAACAGGTTCAGAAATGACATGGCTTTTAGTTTTTCTTCCATTTAATGTAGCAACTGATGGGCTGGTTGCAGTTGTGTGCTCTCAAGATAGAGCATGGATTTTCCTCTGTAAAATTTACTCGATTAGCACCAGGAAAGCCCCAAATGTAACCATTTGTATCGATGCTCACGGCCTTGAATTTTTCCCTAAAATCATATCAATGTAAGGGATGTCAGTACTTTAGTGCCAAATCTGCAGATGCCCTTCTCAAGCCTATTTTGAACGATGTGAGCTATTAAAATGCAAAATTTAAACTGAAGCAACAAAACGAAACTTCTAATAATATAACCGTACGAGCTAATCAACAAAGGACAGAAAGAACAAAAGCAAACAACATTATTAGATGGCAGACATCATACCTGTAGTAATCACTAAGATGTGTGCTATTTAAAGCATTCGGAAATTTTATAAGACAACACTAACAAAATTCACTTTGTTTTGGCTGAACACTTAACTATTGAAGGGCCTGTGGTAAATACAAAAAGATATTCACTAAGCTCTCAATCAAACTAAACAAAAGCAAGAACAGAAGCATACATTTCCATTGAGTCCTTGAAATTCTGGGGAGTTGATTATCACCAATGCAGGAGCTAGGTAAACAAATGACGGGCCCTGTATCACATGAATTCTTATAGTCACTCCCGAAACAAAAAGCACTGTGGAGACAACATTTGCAGTATCCTCCTACATACTCTAAATCCAGTCAGTTCAAACTATCCAACATTGTACCCTCCAGTAAACAAAAGCATAACATAAAATAAATATATGTGCATAACTACTCACATAAGTACCACCCATTGTCGGCACTATGACTAGTGGAATTAGAATTATCGAACCCAGCATGGAAAGATAATGCTGAAACCCGTAGAGACCAATGGGAACTACAACATTGTACCAACAAACACAAACCATATCAATCACAAAAAATTGACTTTACAAAAGCAAAATTGATTACATTTACAATGCTTAATCAAGACAAAAAACAAGTAAACCGCCGAACAATCACAAACAAACATAATACATTTTGAATTATAAAAAAAACCAAATCAAATGAATTGAATGCCAAAAAAAAAAAAAAAAAAAAACAAATCACATCTAGAAATACCTGATCAAAGAATGGAGACGATCAGATGATTTGTTGGGAATATTAGAGTTGGGTATATGAGAAGCGGTGTTAAACCCTTAGCCTCCTGCTTTTTCCTTCACAAGTTTATATTAATCCTCATCCGAACTACGATAATAACTCTTGCTATCCTCACTACTATCATTTCCGGATTCCCATTCGTCTTCATCTTTGTTTGCCTCTTCCGGTGCATTGTATTGAGGCAGATCACCAAGGTTAATTAATATTTCGAATTCGGGAACTCCAGGTACGTCAAACGGTTCTTGGACAATATTAGTATCTCGGAGTGTTTCTTCACCAATTTCTATCGAAGATGATAATTGTTGGTCAGCGACGTTGTCATCATTGTCATCATGATTTACTTCTGGAATATCATATAGCCCTCTTCGATCAATCTTCTGAACTACTTTCCAACCATTGCTAGTTTTAGGGTCGTCTAGATAGAATATTTGTTTTGCCATTGTTGCCAAAATGTATGGGTCTTCATCGTACCAATGTCTCGTAGTGTTTACTGATAGTAAACCATGGTCTCGCTTAACACTCGTTCGGTTATGTGGGTTTGTATCAAACCAAAGACACTTAAACAATATCACTTGACACCTGTCTTTGTAAAGCAATTGTACTACACTAGTTAGTTTGCCATAAAAATCAATGTCTTCACTGTCGCCTGCACCCGGGACATGGACACCACTATTTTGAGTAGAAAACTTGTCATCACGTGTTTCCCCCAAGAACTTGATCTCGTTGACATGACAACTCGAGAACAATTCAACATGCAGCGGTCTTCTTGCCAAGTTATATAATTCTTCATCGTAAGAAGGTGAATTCAATTCCTTCAATTTGTTCATCTAATATAACATATACAAAAAGTTAACCTGTTAGTGTAACCAAATTTAAAGACGGGCATGAACAAGTTGGAAAATATGCTCAATTCAAACCACATATAACTTACATGTGCGTGAAACCACGAAGGAAACAAGTCACGGTGCTTCTTGGCATATAAATGTGAAGGATGGTCCCGCTTCATCAATTGTTCATGCTCTTCAAGATATGGCAAAGCATCATCACAATTATTAAGTATGAACCAATGCGCTACCTCCATGTCCTTTTTGGTAAACGATTCGCCTTTTACAGGATCATCGAATGGTCGCGCAATTTGAGCAAAAACAGACAGTTTCTCTTTTCTGACACCACCGTCATTATTGCGTTGAGGACGATTGAAAGCTGTCTCAACATCTTCAAGATACATTGCACAAAAAGTAAGTGACTCATATGCGACCCATGCCTCCACAAGTGATCCTTCGGGCTTTGCCTTGTTTTGAACACACTTTTTCAACTTACCAATATATCTGCACAAGTAAAAGGTATGCTACAAATTATTCAAAGCGTTCGTTGATCATGAATCTGTTATATATATATATATATATATATATACATGCTTAATTAAGTACCTTTCTATTGGATATTGGATACATCCATCGACAATTCACTGGTCCAGTAAGCAATGCCTCATCTGGCAAGTGAATCATTATGTAAATCATACTTGTAAAGAAAGTTGGGGGGAATATCTATTCGAACTTGCATAAAACGTTCACAATGTCGTTCTGTAATTGTTTAACATCCGACATCCACAAACACTTTGCAGTCAACTGTGAAAAAAATCTCGACAACAATACGATTGGTTTAACCACATCAAGAGGCAATAAGTGTCGAATACCAACCGGAAGAAGGCGTTGGAGTATCACATGACATTCATGACTCTTCATGTTTGAAAATTTACACCCCTTCACGTTCACGCAACGCGATATATTGGAAGCATACCCATCTGGAAACTTTACAGAAGAAATAAAGTTGAAAAACTCTTTCTTCCCATTCGGCTTAACTTTAAAAAAAGGATGGCATTTCTTTAATGTACCACCAACTTTCTTCATCCACAAGCATGATCTAATGCCCATTCGTTCCAAATCGAGGTGAGCTTCCATCATGTCTTTTGTTTGTCTTCAATGTCTAGAATTGTCCCGACCAAAGTATCAAACACATTTTTCTCAATATGAATAACATCGAGGTTGTGTCTCAATTTTAACTTTGACCAGTATGAGAGCTCAAATAATATACTCTTGTGCATCCAGTTCAGATGTGTGGTTGGTCTAGGGTTACTGATCCCTTTGCTGAAATTACCAAATTCCAAACGGTTTAACTGATCCAAAATCTCATCTCCGGACCATTCTTTTGGTCTTGGCCGAGTCTCTTTTGTGCCGTGGAAGGCTTTATCATTCTGACGCCACTCGTTGTCCCAAGGGAGCCATCTACGATGACCAAGATAACAAACTTTTCTTGCATGCCAAGATGATGTTATGTTCTCCTTGCATATTGGACATGCCAAATAACCCTTAGTCATCCACCCAGAAATCATTGCATACGCGAGAAAATCGTTTACTATCCATATCACTGCCGCTCGCATGGTGAACATCTACCCAGTATATTTATCGTATGTACGAACACCGTTTGCCCATAAATCTTTTAGCTCATCAACCAACGGCCGCAAATAAACATCAATGGACTTTCCTAGATCTTCGGTAATTAATAGAGTCAACATCATGTATTCTTTTTTCATGCACTTCCAAGGTGGCAGATTATAAGGAAACACGACGACCGCCCAAGTGCTGTGCATTTGGTTTAAAACCTCGAACGGATTAAATCCATTAGTGGCAAGTCCCAATCTAACGTTGCGCGGGTCAGCTGCAAAATCAGGGTATATCCGATCGAATTCTTTCCATGCCTCTCCATCTGCAAGATGCCTCATAACATTGTCATTTAGCTATCCTTCTTTATGCCATCTCATGTTGGTTGCGGTATGCATCGACATGACCAATCGCTGCAACCTAGGCTTTAATAGAAGATAACGCATTACTTTTTGTGGAATCTTGGTCTTTCTATTCTGTGATGTCATTTTAAACCTTGGCTCATTGCAGATAGGGCATTTATCAAACTGTTTGTTCTCCTTATAGAACAATAT